TAACACAGGCCTCTAGAACAATGGCCCTCTTCCCTGCCATGTACCTTGGGAGGGACACCAAGACTTCTGATAACAAATCCCTTGCCTTTTACAACCCTCTAATCAATAAATGTGCATTTATCCCCCCCCCCATTTTGTGATACTCAAACAGATTTGGGCCAAGTCAACTATTTGCACAAGCTCAGAGTTATTAAATATGTCTTCAACTTTCTTAATCCTGACCAGTAAAAAATTTAAAACACAAAATTATATTCAATACTTGACTTGTGGGAGTCTATATCTATAGCCAAAAATAATTCCAAGGGAAATCTACCAAGATCCAAATCCTTTCAGTATGATTAAATCACATTAAATTCAAATGAGAAAACTGCCACACTTTATGTGCAGAGACAATTGATACATTTGTCAATCCTATGCCTCTCAACATTTCAGCCAATACCCAAAAATAAATTTATTGTCATAAAGCATATCCTGAACAATGAAGTCTGACCATAATTAATGATTAATTCATTTGGAATTCATTATGATAATAGTAAATGTGTTTAACTCATTTGATGCTTCCAAAGTGGCAATGATTCTAGGCCATTCTTTTCTAATTTACTGATTTTAAGTGTTAAAAGCTCTGAGCATGTGCAGGAAAATAGTTCCACATTGCCCTCTAGCGGTTAACTACTACAAAAACCAATTTCTTGTAAATTGCCAGAGAGAATGAATGTTCTGGGTTCTTCGGACTCTCTGAAAGCGTCTTGAGCTCAAGACACATTCGAAGAATATCCCTCTGTCCATTTATAAAAAATATATTAAATCGCTCTTTCCATAAATTTGCCAATAAACGATTAACAAGTTCATCTGCCTTGTGCAGGCACTGTCAGTAGAGGATCAAGTCTAATTGAGGGGAGGGAGGGAAGCCTATTGTTTCCTCTATGGGTCCAGAATGTGGACAAAAGCATAATGTGTATGCTAGAGAGCCCCAACTCAGGGTGGAAATGGAAATGTTGGTGATATTTACAGAACTAATTGATTACACTTCCTGTCGTGACCAGGGAGAAAACAGGAGAATCCTTTTCACAGGCATGTCCAGAGTAACCACAATCTTGTAGCCTGACTTATTAGGGATTCACTGTCCAGAGATTCACAGCCCCCTCCAGTACTGGGAAGAAGGATGAGTGCTGATGAAACCTTTGCATAAAGGACTTAAAGATAAAGTCACCCCCGTGATCATAGTAGGTCTTGATTCACAAGGTTCTATTTGCCAGCAGGAATTGGTTAGCTTATCTAAACTCCTTACAAATATTCAAAGGGAGTTGTTTTCACCCTAGGTTTCTAGAAAATTTGAACACGCTGAAACCAACTTCTTTAGGTTAATGATATCCTCAAACTGAATAATAGTTCATCTTTAGATCCTAGAAAATTTTCACCTTATCATTTCTCATGTAGTAACTTTGTCTGGCTTACTCTCCTTTGTTCACTCTCATAAAATAAAGGGAACTAAAAGCAACATAAGACAAACAGCCTGTGTGTGTGAATACAAAAATCCTGGCCTCCGTTTTACACCCTTGATAAAAACCTAAATGAATACAAATGTGTAAATGTCTGAAGTTAAAATAAATTAAACTTTAGCAACAAAAGTCATTTCCTATTTCATTAGTTAATACCAAGTAAAAATGTTCATGTCTTAATGTATAGATGAATCATCTGAAATAATAAATAGGATCTACTTGTCACTGCCATAACTGGAAAGGATAATTTTCATGTAGATAAGAGTTTTTTCTACCTTACCTATGTGTATTTTCAGCATTCCCCATGTGTTTCCTTGAAATATTTTTACTTTATATGATCTCTATTCCTAGACCCCACTTTCTTCTACAAGATCTAATTCAGAGTAAATATCTCCTGAAAACACTTCTCAGGTAGTCTAATCCTTCATGAACAATTCAGACCTCTAGTCTCAAATGGCATTTGGAGAGCATACTGCATATTTTATTGCTTAATTTTATGTAGTATTTCGTTTTTCCCTGTTCAGAATTAACTTACTAAGCTAATAAGAGAGGGTCATGTTTTACAACTAGCCTTGAATCTCAAAGAACATTTGACACTTGATTATTGATTACTTCCTTAAAATTAAACTTCTTTGACAATAAACATGTCTGCATGTGCAAGCGAGCGTGCATGCACGCACACACACATACACACACGCGCACACACACTTCTTTTTTCAAGTAGAAACAATTCATTACATGGAAGTCAAAGACCTGCAAGAGATAGATATTACTTCAGTGTTCTTGCTGTATAGTAGCTTGAAGATATTGTTAATTTGAATGTCCTGTCTTTAACACATGCATTTAAGTTACATTCAAGCTTAATGAAGAAAAAGCAACCTAACAGATTTTCAAAAATCATCATTGAATAGGAACTCACTCATTTTCATTGTTATGTAAATACCTTGGCACAGAAAAATACACACAACACATGTGTGGTTACATTCTTGCTTTTAACTGGGTTCAGCAAGTTTCTCTGCTCTGTTTACTGTGTTCTGGCAGCTAGAGGCTGGCCCCTATAGCAAGACTTTTGAGAGAAGTGATGACTTTCATCCCAGACACCTAATACAGGGTGGTACTTTGGTTTTATCCCAGCAATTGTGAATATTTAATGAGTCCAATAATTCATTCATTGAGATGGTAGAATGGCAATATTGCATTTCTCTCATTCACTTTTTCTTTTGGGAATGTTTAAAGTGATCCTCATGTTATTCAGTCACACTTGAACAAAGTTTCTTTAGAAAAAAACATGATAAATGCTAGTTTCTTTGCCAGTTTCCCAGATAGTAATGTGATTATCTGTCAGTCTCAGAACTGACCAACCGTTTTTATTCTTTAAGATATCCCTATAAATTGTCATGTTCACATATATTTCAGGGAATTGGTACACTGAGATTCATCAGGTTATATAACAATCCTTGAATCTGTTGACAAGAGATTGCCTTTGTCATTGGCTAGTTTCCTCCTTTGTTAGTATGTCAGGATGATTCAAACTCAGTTGTCATGTTTCCATCTTCCATCTTGGGATGACCAGCTCTGCAAAAGCTCTTGCCCATTACAGTAGGTAGTGTTCTTTTTACAGTTGCAGCCCATGCATTAGGTGGGCTCTGTGCTAGCGAGTCAATGCTTCTTGACTTCTTAAGGGGCTAGATCTTGCCAAGAGATAAAACAGTATTTTAAATCATATTGAACATTTTTTTTCTAATTCAAGCTTGGGAACATGGGAATTTAACTACTGTGTAGTAAGTCTATGTGTCCTTCCACCTCTACCAATATTCTTCCTTAAGATGGCCCAGTGGATGTATAATTGTAACCCTCATATTTGTTCATTGCTTTATCTATATTATGCTTGCTTATAATTACAATAACAGAAGTTCCATCATCATAAAAATCACTCAGTTGATTGTTGTATATAGACTACTGGTATAATCTATTGATTCTCTCATTATTACAGAATCAGAGCATATGACATTAAAAATATAAAATCTTTCCTGACACTTACATTTAGTTCATTGATTTTATTATTCAGAAGTTAGCTCTCTGGTCATAGTTTCTTCTGGTCTTCTTCTTCTGGATGTCTAAAACATGTTTTCTAGTAGTTCTGGTGGTCAATAAAATGAAATGCAAAGGGTGTTTGGAAATGAATAATAAGCTTTTTTCATCCTTTATATTTATAATTAATTTTGACTAACTAGAAAATCCTTTAGTTATATTTTCTTATGTAGAATAAAAAAGTAAATTACTGTAATTCTGTCTCATATGCTATTTATATAATAAAAATTGATAATGGTTTAATTCTGCTCCAATAATATATATATATATATTGTTTTTATTTAAATTCTTTAAAGATTAAGTCAAGAAAATGCACTGTATCCCACTGCATTAATTGTGTCCATTTGCGATTTTCTTCTATAAGGACTGTACTAAGTGTATTTTAGTTCTTCACTCACCCCCTTTCACATTTGATACCTTATTTCATGTCATTCTTAGATTTTGTTTTCTACTCTTTGTGTTGATTTTGTTCATCTATTTATTCTTTATTTCTAACACAATTAGTCTTCCCTCTGCATCTGTGAGCTAAATAGTTTGATTACCACTCCGGTCCTGTGATGTTTTCATTCTGTTGGTATGATAACTACCATGAACAAAGGCATCTATGGGGAGGATTTATTTCAATATATACTTCGATGTCACAGCCCATCATTGAGGAAAGTCAGGGTAGAAACTTAAGCAAGAGGTTAAAGCATAAACCATGTAGGAGTATTGTTTGCTAGCAGGGTTTTCTGTTTTGTGCTCAGCTAACTTTCACATACAACCCATTTTCACTTGCCTAGGTTATATTCCTTCCCCCAATTTCCTGGACACTCCCACATTCATCATCAATAAAGGTGGTCTCACAAACATTATCACAGCACAATCTAACAGGACAATTCTTTAATTGAAATTCCTTCTTCTTAGGTACCTTGAGGTTGTGTTCAGTTGACATAATTTAACTATAATTGGTCCTGTCCTGGAGACGAACTTTCACTAGTCAGTTATAAGTGTTTGTATTTTTCCCCTAAACTAATATATCCCAGTTTCTTAGTATTTTTCTCATTTCCAGTCGCATGTCCACTTTTGGTTTGACTGACACGGACATGACTGACATTTGGGTCATTGGGCTGTCAGCTGATAACTTACAAAAACTTGTGTTTTAGTGTTGGAGGACAATCATCACCAATCATGTACATAGTGTCCAAACGTCCTTGGCTCCCCACCTACTTAAGCATTCACTGCTCATATGAGGATTCAGGAAGATCGAATGTCTCTATCTCCATTAGAGCTGGTGGTTCCCAGAATCCAATCCACTCATTTTCAAACATCAATTTATTTAAAACATTATATTAAATTTGTTTTCAGGAAATGTTCACCATTGGCATTTCAATACACTAATTCACATGTCCAATTTGTTTCTGTTTTCAGAGTCAAGTTCTCATTATGTAATCTCCTTAAAAGCTTTCAACAATGCAGGAGAAGGTGTCCCTCTTTATGAAAGTGCCACTACACGCTCCATAACAGGTATGCACCTATCGTCATTCTCTTTTGACAAAGAGGTCAATGCTTGGCTTATGGTGAGAAGGAGCAAAGTTTTAAAAAGAAAACAAAATATAAAGGATGAAAAAGATTAAAAATTAATACATGAAGATATGTATGAATATATTACCATGAATATATGCATGCATGCATGCACAATATCTTTTGAGCATTTGGTTGGTTTCCCAAATGAATGAGAAGGATTTATTCTATACATTAGTGTGTAGACTTAGAGAATTCAGCTCTTGCCTTCCCTAACATCTTAGTGGTTTCATAGTTTGGTGCCGTGATCTGATTCTTCGTTCTGCTATCAAGTTTATCTCACACACTGCATTTGATAGGCTTGGCATTTAGGCTCTAAATATCCAATGGGCATTTGTTTCTCTTAACATGAACCTTTAGAAAGGTGACAAGGCTAAGGTATCTCCTTGGAGCTGATTGCATTAGTCCAAGTCACAAAGATGAATACTGCACTGGGGCATAGATCATCTGTCAGTCGACATAAAAGGGACTGTTTGATTCCAAAGCTCATTGTCTAGAGAATAGTTATATGAGTCTAAATGGAAAGACAGCAAGCAAGACCAAAATGGCAGAAGAACATGAGACAGCATTAAGATGGTGAGATATACGTCACTGATGAAGGTTGTTTGTTAATAATACTGTATTTATTCAAATATGGAGCAAGTGGATACCCAGAAAAATCACAACTCCATCTTGCTCCTAACAATGTGCTCCCCAAATTTTTTTTCTAAAATGAGGACAAAGAAGTTGTATTTCTTCAGTTAATACTTTGTACCTATGCCCCCACACCTGCAGAGAACCACATCATTCCAACTTCATTTGACTTCCCACAAATATTCAATTTAATTAGAATAAAGGGCTTAGGAGGGCAAGCTTCAAATTTAGTACCAAGCATCAGAGAGAAAAATTACTGGAGTATAGATTCCAGATGAGGATTCATGACTGAATGGAGAATAAATATTGCTAATATCTAGATTTACATGAAATTTATATAAATTTGATTTTCAAGCCCACAGTTGCCCTTCTCAGACAATACTGACAATGGTTTGTTTTTGAGATCATTTCCAATGATGTTACACTTATTGTTATCCAGACTTTCTGAAAAAGAAAAGTTGCTATTTCCTAATCCTTCAGGTGTTGATCATTGGCTTTAAAGTCTGACATGCTCCCCACCACAAAAATGATACAAAACTGGGAGCTCTCATTTGAGACAATGTCTTTTGCTGTGCCACCAATTGTACTCATGAATACTCAGAGAGAATAAGCAGTACCCTGGAAATTGTTTGCTAACAAAAGTATTACCTCCATAGTTAAGAAAAAGTGATATGCATTGATTTCTAGAATTGAAACTAAGATACAGAATAAGAGTGAGCATTTGGGATTTTTCACTACCACTTTCTCTCAGACTGTCCCAAAAGTGAGGCACCCTGATAAGTAACTGGCTATTACGCACCTGATTCCCCTAGTTGGCTTTATGTATGCCATGTCCTTCCTGTTCCTCATAAGAAAACTAAGTAGTTTCTTATTGTTAAACTGTCATTGAGCTATGATTGGGTAACATAAAATTCCACAAAGCCATTCTTTCAAAGCTGCTCTTTTATTAATACAAAAATTAAATCTCAAGAAGAGAGACTACTGCTACAAACATGAGTGAGTTTTCCAGAAGAACATAAGCATAGTGAAGAGGGCAGAGTTCAGATACACTGAAGTTAGGCTGTGCAGAAGGAAATGTCTGTGGTATTAACAACTTTCCCTGTGGCATTTGCTGTCAGTTTTTAATTCTTAGCATATGGCATTGCCACGGTGTTTTCTCAAATACCAGTGATCCATAACACAAGTTTTATTTTCATGTTATAACACTGATTCTAACAGATCTGAGAAAGGAAGAAGTGATGGTAAAGTTAGAAATTTTGTCAGGAAATTTTTAGGAAAGAAAAGCAAGTAATGGGCTACAAAGGAATGTATGAAGCAACTTTTTCACAATAAGGAATACACTTTTTTCCCTGAAAGTAGAATTATTTTTAGGCTTCTACACAACATGGAGAGCAAAGGGCAAATAAATGGAATCAAAGGCTAAGGCTGTGAGAGAATCTCTTATCAATAAACATGTCATGTTTTCATGTAAAAACCATTCTCTATCTTTGGGTTGTTGCAAAATATTCCCATGGGAGGTCTTGGAAAAAAATTTCAGCAAACAGTAAACACAAAATGTATCAAAGGCAATGAAAGCATCAGGCTAACATAGCCATCGAGCCCTAGAGCATTCTAAATGCATGTGCTCATAGCCTTTCATGAGTTCCTAAATCTTTTCTCAGATGGAACATATCAGTTCAAGCTACTGAAACTCCCAGCTTGGACCCTCACGGGAAAATTGTCTCTCCTGCAATCAAGCTTTTTATCTCTTGTTGTAAAAACAAGTTGTTTTCCACCTGGAGAAGGAAAATGGCAAAGAATAATCAGGAGTTAAGGAAGTCTACTCTTTGAATTAATTTATTCTTAACCATTTCAGTGAGGTTTAAATGAAGTGTAATCCAGTTGAAAACTACTAATTTTAAGACCCATTTATTTTTTGGTTTTATGAGACAGGGTTTCTCTGTATTGTTTTGGAGGCTATCGGTCTAGCCCGGCCTCGATTTAAGACCCATTTTAAACAAGTATAATGAATAAAAATGGGAGATTATCAAACTATGTTAGAAACTGGTTTTTCTTCAGCAAAATTTTATATAAATAAATGTGTTTATATATTTGCATACACATATATGCTTACATACACATATACACCTTCATGTAACTCTGAAATACTCTGAAATTCAAGAGCATAGAAGACATCCTAACAGTGGAAGGATCATTGAAGAAGAATGGTTTACATCCAATTACTCAAGAAATTCCTGATCAGAGAATAAAAGAACAGTAGCAGCACGTGTTGCATATTTTCGCACTGTGTGTTGCTGTCTTCTGGAATGCTCTTCTCTGCTGGAGATGTAGTTTATCTGCTTGGTTCCTTTTAGTGGGGGCTGAGCATTTAGGACCACTGAATTATTGAAACTGGCTTCCATAAAAAATGGATAAATGTTCAAAATAATTATTTATGAAGTTTAAATTGATAGAAGCCATAGAACATAGTATTATATTATGCATCAAAATTCTAGAGGGATTGCCATGGAGAATGATGAAAATAAATTGTATCTCCTAATATAGAAAATAAAACTTAGCCATTGGCAAAAGTTTCTGGATTGCATTAGGTTCCCAGATAAATTACAGCAGGCAAAACTGCTTTAAGTACAGTGGGATTATTCTGTAATTGACTCGAAAATAGTCAATAAATAAAAACCAAGAGAATTTTTATATTTTAAAATCATAACTAGCAGGATTGACTTTTATCATTTCCTAAATAGGATCAAAACATCAAATCATTACAAAGGATGCATGTGAGAGACCATGTTTACATGAACTATGTGGTAGCCCATGATATGGAGAAGTCAAAAGTAGTTCATGTATTGGACTACTCTGCTTAAAAAATTCTTTCAAAATTAGACAGGAATAGAAATTTGAAAGGCAATACTTGTTATAGTTTGGCAAAAACCCTTTTTCCTGCTAAACAAGCCTACTATATGATTCAAATTCTGTAGAGGCTACAGTATCTTTTGTTGTCTCTTCATTATTTCATCAATTCATTTGACTTTAAATGAGCCTTTAATAAGAAGAGATATCAAAAGAAAAATGGAAAGCCTGGGCTCTGTCATCATATGTTAATCCCTGCTCTCTCTCTCTCTCTCTCTCTCTCTCTCTCTCTCTCTCTCTCTCTCTCTCTCTCTCTCTCTCCTTTCCTTTTGTTCTGTTTCTGTCTTCAGTTTTTAAAATATTTTCTCCAAAACTATAGGCCAATAACATGCTAAATAATTCATTGGAAAGCAGAGTAATGAATAGGGGCTGAGAATTTGAAATTCAGGGAAAAGAGGCAGTAATCAACAGACTGGCTAACAACCTCTCAGCTTTGAGCTCAGCTATTAAAAAATAAACTGTATAAGCTGCTGTTGACAGTCCTGTATATTATCTCTGATCTCATTCCCTTAAATGACATCAAATGTCCAGTTTTAGAGTTGTTCTGTCAGTGTCAAATTTTTGTTAGCGAGATTCCTTACTATGTCATTTTTAATTTCGGTTTTTACACTTGCCGACTATAAATTTGGGTGTCTCAAAATGAAATGATTATTAGTGCCACAAAGTAAGCTTCTGAGATTGTGGTTGTTCCAGAATAAGATAAGTGTATGGGTTTTGGAGACGTGTGTAAAATCACACATCATTCTTCAGATTCCAATCATGGTATTGATCAAAGCACGTACATATCTCAGTGGCAATATCCTCATTCTGAAGGCAGTTAATTTGTCTTCCAATCCATTGATGTTCATTCCTTCCACTGCACTTGCAGTTTTAGAATCAGGTAGGTAATATAGGAATGCCTGACTGGACTGAAAATGGAACTAAGCTATGCATGAGAAAGCAGCAAGATGAGCGCTTTCACAATTTAATATTACAATCTAAGAAACCTGTATACCAGTTGTCATCTCACACCAGCTTATAGAACATCAGATGTACATTGATCCATGTGGTCACGCATATGTGTTCACTCAGGATTTGTGCATTGATAGAAAGACTGATATACATCAAGGTTCGTTCATATAGTTTGTTAACTGAATACACATAGAGATAAGGAATACTATATACTGAATACTATATAGAGATATAATCTAGACAATAGTAAAAGAAGTATAAAAACGCAGCAAAATAAGAGATAAGGAAGAAAATTAAGATGTCCAGTAGCATTTATTTTCATTTCAGGAAAAATAGCTAGAAATATAATGTCTACTGTTATTTCAAATCGTTGAAAAATCATGAACCTGATAATTTAGTAAGCAAAACATTGTAAGAAACAATGTGTAATCGTCAAACAAGATGACCTTTTAAGATATATAATCTAACTATACATAAATATGAGGAAATACTGTTATTTTTAACATAGCAATACTGTTCTTATTATATTTTATGACTTAATTAATTGCATTTTTTTCTGTTCTTCTCATGTTCCCTTTCATCTTTATTGCCATGCATTTAACTCATTGTGATGTGTTGCCACTGGTATTTATTTTAACTCTTTGTTTACACATTTGTTTGTTTCATTTAATGGGTTTTTAACCCAGATCCCACTGACCCAGTTGATTATTATCCTTTGCTTGATGATTTCCCCACCTCGGGCCCAGATGTCTCCACCCCCATGCTCCCACCAGTAGGTGTACAGGCTGTGGCTCTTACCCACGAGGCTGTGAGGGTCAGCTGGGCAGACAACTCTGTCCCAAAGAACCAAAAAACATCCGATGTGCGACTTTACACTGTCCGATGGAGGACCAGCTTTTCTACCAGTGCCAAGTACAAGGTAAGAGTCAAGTCGATTGCATGAAATTTAAAATTATCTTCCATGTGATTGGTGTATTGTTTTCAATGTTTTCTGGTCTGTCGCACACTACTCTTCTACAGTGATTTTCACAAGGCAATTTAGTAACTGAATATTAGTTAAGAAAAATTATGCTTTTGGAAATCAACAACAGGCAAGGTAGGAAAATATCAAGAGCTGCAAAATGATGTCTAATACCACCAGACACAGTTTGCACCAGACTTTTGCTTCTATAGGGAAGAAAGCCATTTTCCTTTGGAAATAACAGGACTCCATGAATATCTTGCAAATAGATTCTGATATGGTTCTTTTTATTTATAACTTAGATTTCTCTCTTAATAACACACACACACACAACAGAGAGAGAGAGACAGAGGGAATAACAGATAATAGATGATATGATGATACTTTATAACATCCTAGGAATGTATTGAAAGCGATTATCATTGAAATCCTTATTCAGCTTTGAAATGGTCTTCCTGTCATAAGGAAACTCCCTTAAATGAACCAGAGTTATAACAGCCTCCTGTTCATATAATAATTTCCAAATCATTTAATACTCACTCCAGAGATCTTTGATGATATTTAAGAGACAGTCGTTTCACTTTTCCATCTCTCCTGCCCAAACTTTGAGATTCTAATAAAGAGTTACTAGCAAAGAAAAGCATATAGCCTTCTAAATAATAGACCACGTTAACCTGTTATAAGTGGTAGACAGTGTCAACAAATTAGAAAGATCAGCATGCATCTGTTCTGTATCTATAACAGTTCTAGATCATTTATCCTGAAATAAAGTTTTAATTCTGCTTACTTCACATGTTTAACTTGGAATGCTCCATGCAGCCATCTTATAAATGTGTGCTTGAAAGAAAATCTATAAATGGTTCGTATAAGGTAACACAGCTGAAAGTTAATAGTTTACAAGATGATAATAGGGAATAAAAAAGAAAGTTAACATAATAATCTCAGCACTAAAGCAGGAGGACTGGCAAGAGTTTGAGGTAAGTCTGGGCTACAGTAGAAGGCCTTCTCTAAAACAAGATGAAGAAGAATGTGAATGTTACACCAAAATTAAGGGATCCAATAGCTTAACCCTAGCTTTTCAATTTCCTCATAGTCACTTTTATCACTGTTCTTGACACTCTGTGGGAATAGCCATTGAGGAGAACTTATCTGCCTTCCTCCCACTGAACTACTGTATCCCTTAAAACAGTTGCATGGAGGCAGTGGAGATTTGGGAAATGCACCTGTCTGGAGACTTTTCTGGTCACAAAGCTGGAGATGGAACAAAACCACACTGGTTTCCTAACTCTGCCTCTCTCTATGTGCAGTCATGTTGAAATTGCTTTAGAGTTTTTCATCTTTTAAGTGGTGAGAACTTTGCAGTTTTTAAGTCAACTTTTAGTTGAGACAATAAAAAAATAATCAAAAACCATAGTTTTGTTTGATATCACTGCCCTGAAATACCAAGTATTAGGAAATATTCCTCAGACAAGTTCATAAAATATCAATGATAAAAGATACAAGTGTCTTATCTATCACCTAACAGTATCAGATCTCAAACCTAGTAGAACCATAAATAAAGGCAATATCATCAGGAAAGAAAACAAAGAGAATATATGAGATTATTAAAAAGCATCGTTCCATATAGATTGCTCAGTTTTGAGCTTACTTTTAGAAAAGACTATGTTTCCTACTTTAAACTTGTTATGTTCATAATTACTCTACTTTGTAGACATATTCATTTTGCAGAATGATCCTGGGGACTTTGCCAGAATGTAGAATGATTTTTTTAAAAATGAATATTTTCTTCAGCATCATTTGAATAACAAAATCCAAGATTTCTTGAGATACATGATTTCAATTAAATGGTTAGTAGAGCAGACATGGAATTACTCAGACACACAAAGAATTTAATACCAAACAAAACAGATTTTAACTGTGCCTTTTCTGATGAAAGACATTATTTAATTTATTACTAATAAATTTCTTAACATACACATGTACACACACACATGCACACACACACACACACATACACGTGCTCAAACACACCACACAACACCACTACTTATGAACACTGAGATGAAGAGGTCTCTAGAAAAGAGTTATGTAGTTGAACAAGAACAAAGGAAGAGAATGGCTGGTCTATGAGAAAGATGTAGAACAAATTTTATAGCTCTTAGTAACAGATGACTTTGTACTTTATGCTTTTAAAATAATGTCTATATCTAAAATGAATCTTTTGTTCTATAACAGTTTTATAAGATAAGCAAGACGTGTTCATGATAGGAAGAATTGCACTTTTGGAGTCAAATAACGTGAATTCAAGAGCTGCGTTTGCTGTTTTGTCATATCACCATATCATTGTCCTCAAATTAAGCCATCATTCTGAAAATAATATTTTCATTGTTCAGGTCCCTATATTGATTTTCCTATAAAAATATGAACTTTGTTTAAGTTTTCCACAATTATTTAATCACATACTGTTTTACCTGAGTTTCTACCCAAAATGTAATTATTGGCAGTAGCCTAATGTTCAGGAGATGTGTTGTGAATGTAATAGAAAACGAGAAGTTATGCAAGATTTAGTCTCTTTCCCCAAGATATTACTCAGTATTGAATTTAATATAACCAATGTAATGAAAAATGTCATGAAACAATGTGTAATGTATTATAGACATCATTTATTAACACTTGCTCTGGGCCAGGCACTGTTTTACTTCACTTACTTCATATAGGAAACGATGATATAAAGGGTGTCACATTACCTGAAACTTATAGATAAGATGAGAGTTCAGTGAGATATTACCAACTATCCTGTATTCACAACTGCAACCAGATAGATATTCCAAAGTATTTTTTGGTTTAACAATTGATTATAGCAATAGCTTTCTATCATTGTCTAGAGAAAGAATTCTTGATAAATGTTTCTGAGATATTCAATTTAATAGGATAGATGGACACAGCATTCAAATATTATTAGTTTCTTTTAATATATATTTGTTATAAAAGTATGTAGGATTTTATAGCTATGCCCTAACCTATGACAGATTATAATTTAATATTTTCCATACTATAGTAATAAGAGAGTGATAACTATATTATTAACCAGTGAGAAAAGCTTTGATTTTCCCATATATAAATTCCCAATACATGTTTAAATGTATTTAAATTCTTAGAAAAAATAAGAAGTATTTAGTTTTGAGAAAAGACAGAGACTTAAGTACCAAGCACAAGTTGATGCTTCTAAGAAATTTACACAGTTTAAAATGAGACAGGTCATGTGGAAAATCAGTTTTTACCTGTGAGGCTAACATCTTTTTCTTTATTATCATTTTTACTCTTTGAGTAAGCAATAAAGACACAATTTACTAATTTTCTACTAAAATAATTAAACGTATTTATGATGTAGCTAATGAGCTCAAAAGCCAAATAAAACATTCTACAATGCATTTTATCCTTTAATATTTAACTGATTTGCTCTTCTTTTTCTGGTCAATTGCTTCTCTTTCTATACATGTTTCCATATATGGTAAGCATCCGTAAAGGGAGAACACCATGTGACACACATTCTTGCTCTGCTTGATGAATAGATATTTGGAAGCACTCAATCTTTGTAATTTCATCTTAATTTTAAACATCTTAATAATTATAATGCTATTAAATTAATTATTTGCAGTGGAAAACGATGATGGCCAAGAGAAAATAAATAATACTAACCCCCAAAAGTCAAATGTCAATGATAAATACATGAATTTAATTCAGTCCCGGCTAGAAAGTATCTTGAGATGGAGTTGAGAATAGTATTTCTCTTCTGCCTGTGCTTTTGGGCAGGCTCAGGGAACTTACCCAGTTGGCTTCCTCTTTGAAGAAAGCAGGCCATGATTGTATCAGTAAGGCTCAAATGTATGACCAGTCAGTGTAGACTGGTTAGCACAGCAGTGGGCCTAGCTCTTTTTGTTATTTTGAACTGAACGTACTTTTGTCTGACTTATTTGCTAGTTGTTTCACATGATTTAATTACTGAGTTGACAATTGATTCTTTTTATTTTTTGACTTATTTCCGGTTTGTATAGTCAGAAGACACAACATCTCTCAGCTACACAGCAACAGGCCTCAAGCCCAACACGATGTATGAGTTCTCAGTCATGGTGACAAAGAACAGGAGGTCAAGCACCTGGAGCATGACCGCACACGCCACCACATACGAAGCTGGTACGTGAAGAGGCAGTGGCCTCAAAGGTAGTCCTAGGTAGCTGTGTTCACAAATTCTGTGGGAATTAGGAAATGGAATTTGTATGGTTTTAAAAGTATACTGTGTCCTGCATGAAATAGTACATCCTGTACAGTTCACAGCACTTCTGCAGCTAATAGTATTATTCCACTTACACAGAAGAGAAAGAGTAGTATCCTATAGATTAAGCAATCTGACTGCATGATTAATCCCCAAGTTTTAGAATGAGTTCTTTAGAGCATTAACTCATAGGACCTGAATGTGAATTCTTGTCAATAGTAAAGTATTGTAAGTAAAGGGCAGAAATCTAGTTACTGAACTCTGTGTGATACAAGGATGACTTTAAAAATACAATTTTGGCCTCCTGAATATTCATTTTAACTAAGATAGCTGGAATAGAAAGTGTTTCTAGGTGTTCTTGGTCATATTTGGAAATAGGGTCACATATTGAGGTCATCTTTATGCACTTGGAGAGAGCTTGGATCTAGGCCACTACAAGTCAGTGTAAAGTTCAGAAGTCAAGTTGTCTAGGGATCATAAGTCTATAGTTCAAAACATTTCCACATATATCAGTTTACCATATATAGTTTACCAAAACCCAGCTTATAAGAATATCTTTTAAAATATATTTCATCTCTATTTTTACTATTTTATTTTGTATGTCTGTGTTTTGGTATGTGCACATGAATACAGGTGCCTACAGTGGCCAGAAGAGTGAGACAGACTTCCCGAAGCCGCATGACCTGGGTGCAGGAAACAAACTCAATTCCTCTGCAAAGTAATATGTGTACTCCTAGTCACTTAGTCAATCCTCAAGCCCTAATAGTATCTATTTTTAACTGGTTTCATATATATATATATATTTGGGTGTGAGCTACACTTAACATTTTCAAATTAAAAACTATGCCAATAAAGTCCTCCTCAGATGAGCAAAGTTTTTTTCCACCAGAATTTGTCCCTTGGTGTTACACCTTTAATTGTATTGATGATTATTGTCTTAATTTTTAGACCTCTACATTTTGTAGGTACTTCTGTCTATGAAAATCTTTCTAGAAAGTCTCATTTTACCATACTTTCTTTTAGTTTACTTATTATATATTAAGTTATCCTGTATCTATTCTGACTTGGATGCCTATGCCTACAGTTTATAAGGAAAATTAGTATCTGCCAAGTGAATTACATACTATGACTACCATAAAATACCCCTCTCTTTCCTTTTACACCAAAGGACAGGAATAGAGTCAAATATGACCTGGTAAAATTTAAAAAATAAAAAAGCAAAACCTGATATGGCTTGATTGAAATAATATTCATCTTTCCTTAAGCAAGAAAACTCATGCAATTTCTCATTCATAAATATAAAATATACCCCAACATCTGACTTGCAAAATGCATCCTATGGATTTCTCATCAACTACCTCGCCTTATACAGACACCAAATGTGAGTCTCAATGCAGAAAAAAGATAATAAGTTTGAGACCTGTGGTTAGTAGAAAGAGTGATTGTCAAATCAGATAATGATCTGAACAAAGGTGTAAATAGCATGTGGAAGAGATTCCTGGGCGATGATGAGAAGTAAGAAACAATTTACAAGTGTCTGTAGATTCTGTAACTGTGAGGAGGAAATGAGGTGGATGAAGTAACTTGAGGATTTGTTTTAATTCTGAAATAAGATGTGGACTCCATGGCTTCAATGCTACAAACTGTAAGTGGCTCATAGTAAACTTAAGGGTGGCTGGATGGACATTCTTTTATTTTATTCTGATTACCTTAATTAAAAGAATTGTGCCAGAAGGAGCAGCCTCAGCTATAAATAACTACTGCTGCCCTCACAATGTTTTGAACCTGCATGTCTTCCTTGCTTGTATCAACTAAATACTCACCTGTTCAGAAGAGAGAAACTAATGGGTATTATTTGAGATAAGTAGCAAATAAAGTTAAAGAAAAACTGGCTGAAAGAGACTAAGTTACAAATCCGTGTAGCCATGAAGCCTGCATGGCTCAGAGACAGTCTTTCTTCCAAAAGAAAAATACCATATATTTTTCTGAAAGGAAGAAAAGCAAAAGAATATTGCAAATACAAATAATAAAAAAAACTTAATGTAATTTCCATGTCTGTAATTTTCTAAGTCTAAAAGGTTGCCCTCTGTTCAAATGCTTAATGAAGATTGAAATCTGGGGAAGGAGGTATATTTGAGAGCCTTAGATATGGTAGGGCCTTGCTCAGTATAAATAATGGGTTCATTTGTAACTTCCAGGCCCTGTGATAGATAAAGAACACAGCTCTACTTTAGAGAGAATAACAATCACTAAAAAGGAGAACCTTATTGAGAACCATAAAGTAACATAAGGAATGCAGTCACCAAATTTGGGATATATTGAAATTATAGAAAACACCACAAAGTACAAATTCCCTCTAGAAAAATAATGGTAAATTTCACAAAAGAAATACCAAGTAACAGCCTGAAGGGAACCATTAGTTACGAGTGTGGATCAAAGGAGTGATTAAGCCCATATCTTTCTCAGACATTGGGGGCACACTTGCAGCTGACAGGGAAATTTTTAATATTTAATCCAATAAGAACAATACCAAAATTTCTACAGATCATTCACACAGCTTAAGAATAAGGAGCCAAAAGAGCTGAACTAGCAGAGTGGTTTGAGTAACCAACTTCTCAGTACATTACCATGTATTTATTATAGCAAAACCAATGAATATTATTTTACCTTTTTAAAATACCCAAGCTGACTGGTGAAGTAACCTAATCATCTCCCTTTATCTGTTTTCTAAATAAATATTAATTTGAATTTTAACAAAAGTAAGAAAATGGCTATCTTGACAAGTAAAAATATCTTTCTTTCATAATTTAAAAATTCTCTTATATGGTAGGTACAATATCTAAATCAATTTCTGATTGTATCTGCTCTTTCCTTTCATGGGCTATGAAATATCTTGAAAGAATTCTTTAAGAAAATAATCTTTTTGTAGGATGCCCTTACCTCTTTGATGTTTGCTATAAATCTATGCTGTTCTTGCAATGCCTCTTGACATATGTTGGCTTCTCCTCCATGTGATGTCATCCCACCCCTCTTCTTTCTTCTTATCCCCCTTTTCCTTTGGATTACCATCTTCTCCATTTTGCTTTGAAACTTTCAATGTATCAAGTGGTTGACAATATATCAAAGTTATATTAACTTTGGATTAACTTGCGTTCCAGTGTCCTTCGAGGAAAAGAAATATGACATATAAGAATGATTTTTGTCTGTCTCATTTGGTTCGTATCTATAAATACACAGGAAGTTACTCTGGATGTGGAGTGTATTTAATGTGTTGACTTAGCCTATATGACATTCAGAAGTACTGAGGAGAAGAGAATGAGGATGGGTCCAAATAGAGATTAAGTTCTATCTATCTGTCTATCTTCTTCACTGGAGTCCTATTTGGAAACAAGAAAATTCTAGTAGGACACAGAGAAGATAGCTCCAACTCTGCCTGTGTCAAAACTAATGGTAACAAAGAGACCACAGATAATGGAGTGGCAACAATGCTAGCTACTTAGAAGGAAAACTATCTTCAAAAGGGTGATAAACGGATCCGCGGAATTTTGGAAGATGCTGGATTTACTGGGCACATTTGGTTCCGTCTTTAGAATACATTTACATTTTATTTTGCATAATATATAGGAGAAAGAGATCTGAGGAGGGCAGGATTTCTTGCTATCTTATTTCATGCCCAGTTGATGAAAAGCTCTCATATGTTACTTGTATTTTCTTCTTTTGTTTCTCAATTTCCATTCTCACTTAGAAAATACCTAGTACAAATTTTAAGTTACAGGATTTCACATGTTTTTCATGGTATTTTTTTCTTGTTGCTGTTTGTGTGTTTGTACTTCTCTTTATAAATGGAATTGGTAGGTTATTTTTTTCAGTTATAAACTACAGTTGTAATAGATTCCTTAATGGGAGGTATGTCATCCATTAGTTCATTAAGCATATGATTCTTACATAAACATACAAGTATGAGCTCACTTAAAAACACTGTTGCATTCTTCTGCTCCATATTTACTCTCTATACTCACACTTTGGGAAGGTACTGAACTTCCATGGTAATCTACAAATTCTACTCCTTCACTTCTGTCATTCAGATATTTTCAGTGAATTGTAAAAGACAAAATAAACATGTGATGATATACCTAGATAGATCCTAGTTGTTAAGAGTCATGACAAAATGCCCACCAATGTCTTTTTTTTTTTACAACCAATGACAAGACCTGTCTCTGTCTCATCTCACAGCCCCAACTTCTGCTCCCAAGGATTTGACAGTCATTACTCGAGAAGGGAAGCCCCGTGCTGTCATTGTGAGCTGGCAGCCTCCCTTGGAAGCCAATGGGAAAATCACTGGTAAGCATCCAGCTTCCTCCCCCAGCCTTTGCTTACTTCACAGTTGTTCTTGCTCTTTGTGCGGAGTTTCAGTCTCAGCATTTTGGTTCATTTCATCATCTTCTCTGATTGTCTCTTCCTGTTCCCCACTGAGGGTGGAGCTCTCTTAGGGTTCCTACTGGTACACACATGAATATTCACTTGTGTTTATCCTATGGACCATTAAAACAACCTTCTCATGAACTGTCTGGGAATATAAATGATTGAAAGGAAGCTGATTGTCTGAGAGTTACAGAATATATAGGATTTCTGATATCCTTGTGTTTTTGTGCAAGAAATGAAGGAGGTTTGTCTTGGAATTTTTAAGTTCTCATTTTTCTTTTAACATCATTCTTGAATAATAAGGTTCAGAAAATAGTTAATATTGATTGACAGAAACGGAACATAATGAATATTTCACACTGACAGATTTTATTTTACCAAATATTGCTGATAACAAAAAATGTCTAATTAAAACATCCATTAGGAGTCTATGCTGTTAAGTTAGTATATATATAAAAAAACATAATGGAGTTCAGTTAGAGTTTGCATTCAAATGATCAGTTTAGGTTTTTAATAGATATCTCCATAGATTTAACTTATTATGAAAAACATTATACAACTCTAAGTGTTCACATTACAGCCCAATGAATTGGAAACATTGGGTTTGTAATTTACAAGTCTCTCTTTATTCTTCTACATGTGTATATAAAGGTACATGGCAGTACTATAAATAAACAGAGTGACGGAGTCTTTCTGATACAAATGAGCAATAAACATGCAGTTTCAGATGGCAAATTCACTTTTTGTGAATGTTGTGATTTTTTTTCAAAATGAAAAGGTATCATGAAGCTTCCAACTGTGGTGGAAATTTAAGTTGAAGATTTGTTTTATTTAGGTAGTGGCTCTTATTGCAATAGTAAACAGAATTTCATATGACCTGACAAAGACGGGGCAGAACATAAGCATAAAATCCCTCCCCCAAGAGAATATGGGTTCAATTGTCAGTGTGCCAGGACTTTGAAAACTCAGACCAGTGCTTTCCAATTTTCTTTTATTCTCTTTCTCAGCAGTCTGGTCTACTATAATGGATTCTGTTTCAGTAATTTTGTAGCTTTTGATATGTTTATGCTTTATTTCATTTATTTGTAAACATATGTCAAAATAGATAATATTTTAAAAATAAAAATGTAGAAATTTTCCAAATGAAAACAAAGTATGATGGAAACGTTGATTAGAGAAAGAATGAAATGAGTCACATTTTCCTCCACCACATTCTTTCCTCTTACTGAAATAAATCTTCAACATGTCAAAGTCAGCAACAGAATGTGTTTTCAGCTCTGAAAAGGAAAGCCTTAATTTTGCTTTTCCAGTGTAAAAATCAGAATGCTAGCCCATATTAAGAAATATCCACAGGTGCGATCCCACTACTGATCAGCACCGAGTTTTGACCTGCTCCGTTTCCGACCTGGATCGGTTCACCCCTCCTTAGGCAACCTGGTGGCCCCCGCTCCCGGGAAGTCACCATATTGGTGCCAAACTTAGTACGGACACCCGATCGGCATAGCACACTACAGTCCAGAACTCCTGAACTCAAGCGATCCTCCTGTCTCAACCTCCCAAGTAGCTTCTGGGATTACAGGGGTGAGCCACTGTGCCTGGCAAGACTGTTTATAAAATATAAAGTTAAAAAAAAGAAAAGAAAGAAATATCATCTTTTATTTAAAACTTACCCTCATGATAGAAACCTGAAGATGGACTGGGGAGGTGTTTGTAAATTGGGGTTCACCTTACCAATATAATCACACTGAATTAGTCTTCTTTTCCTGCTTTAAACACACACACAACTGAAGTAACAAAAATCTTAAAAACTGACACAAGGTTTGCATCTGGGTTGTACTGATGATTATTTTTCTTTTCCTGTAGTGTGAAAAGTACCTTCATGGACTGTCAACATTGTTCAGTTGGCTAGATCTTCTTGTTGAGTACCTGCTCAATTTTTCTATGTTCTGTAACAGAAGTAAAGGGTATCTTTCCCTTTCCTTGAAAGATTCTTCTCCTCCCCATCTTTCCTTACTGACTAGATAGCCCATGTCATTTTTCATATTTAAATATACAAATCTAAAGCTTAAGAGCTAAAAACAAGACATAGGTGAAAATATGCAATATTTGTATTTTGGGTTTGGTTACTGTACCCAGGATGTTTCTAGTTCTGTTGTAAATCTAAGCACTTCAAAAAAGATGAAATGAGCAAAAATGAGTAAATAAATTAATAATTTTAATACTGAGAAGGTAACTCTTGTAACACCAGTGACAGCAAAATCTTAACATGAGCTCATCAAATGCAGGGGATTTAGACTCACTTTTTCAGAAAAATAATATTCACAACAGAATAAGCAGTTACAATATTCTTGGTATCATGCTTAAAATGACAGGATGGTAACTAATCACATCTCCCTACTGTTGCAAAAAAATTACAAGATTTCTACATTTTGGAGCAATTCATCCAAAGTTACATTCCTTCTCTTTATACCTAAGGGCACAATTACCATGATGGCCTACTAGTTATGCTGGACATTAAATGTCCTGAATGTTTAAGCTACTATATGGCAGAGATTATATGTCATACCTTGGTCTTCCTAGGACATAGCAGTCTATCTTCTCTGAGGAAGTTGGTGTCTATTTGATGAGTCTTGCATTACTGTGACCAATTCCTCTGCCTAGAAGTGTGTTGGATTGTGAAATCATCTAACAATTGCCTTTCTTCAATTTTTGGAAAGTTGTACCAATGACTACTTAAGATCAGTTTCTCATCTCTATGTTGATTCTTAAAGGAATAAATGTAGAAAGATAAAAAAGTATAGAGGAGGAATTGAGCAAATCTGACACTTTGCTTCTTGAATTCCAAATGCCTGTTTGGGGGAAGAGAAGCAGAATGATGGCTGTGTGGTGTTACATTTTATGCATATTGGATAAATGTGATTTCAAGATGAGTGCTCCTGGTTTTACTGGTGGTTCCAGAGGAGTCTCCAAACACTAATTTCACATGAAACGTTAGTATTTTGGTCAGCTGTGACAAGTCAAAGAATGAGAACATAACAAAAGGCAAAAGAAAGACTCCGGTAATAGATTCATAGGTTTTTAGAAGAGATTGTGTAGCTATGAAGATCTGTAATTTAAAACTTTAGATGATGGAGTCAGTAGCTTTAGAATATACCCAAAACCTGCAACATTCAGATGAATCTGGGAGCTTTCTTTTAAACCAGTTTTTAGGGCTGGATAATGCTATCTATAGTTGAAGTTTGAAAGTTTTTAATCATCAAATTGAAAAAATAAAATTCCTCAGTGTCACCATAAATATCATGGACTGATGAGATGGCAATTTTGATTTGTCATAACCTAACACAATATGAGCTTTAGATAATCAATTCCAGTTTTAAATACTTCAAGAAATAATTTTCATTTAGATAAATCACAGTGAAGATATATTATTTTTCTTCAAAAAAGTGAAGAAAATCATAAATAAATGCAGTGATCTGGGTGAGAGAATATTTCTCAAATTTTCTTATGTCTCATGTCCTAACAAAATCACAGAAATATTAATTTCATTAAAAGCCATTAATTACCAGGTGGTAGTGGTCCACTTAGGAGGTAGATGTAGGTGAATTTCTTTGATCTCCAGGCCAGCCTGCTCTAAAAGGAAGTTCCAAGGTAGGTAGTGTTATCACGCAGAGAAACCCTGTATAAAAAAAAAAACAAAATAAAAAAGCAAGTCATTAATCCAAAAGAAAACTATGCTACAGAAATTCAATTAGTGAGTTTCAGTACTAATTATTAGTAAGTTTTCTGAGGTATGAAAACACACTAGAAGATATGATTCCAGAGATAAAGAATTTTTTTGTCTTACTTTTTCTTTTCTTTTTTTTGTGAGGGGATAAGATGTAGATAAAATAAAAACAACCCAGTCTCTTTGCTCTGAGGAAGGTGGACTCTGTTTTATGTGTCTTTTGTTACTGTGACTAATTCCTCTGCCTCAAAGTCTCTCATTTTGAAATCATTTATCCATTATCTTTCTTCCTTTTTTGGACAGTTGTCCCAACTACAGCTTAAGTCCAGTTTCCCAGAATGTAGGTCATTTTATTCTCTATGACAAAGCTTAATGGATGTTGGATTTTGTAGTTTAGCTTAAATATAGAGATCAATGGTGAATAAATTTATGGTTTATAACCCAGAAAGTTTAGAGCTACAAACATCCAAGAAAATTCTATATGGCAGTATAATGAATGATACAGATGAATAGGTGTTATCCTAATTTATTAAAACCACAGAGCTTACAGAAAAGAAAGCTTATAGCCAGGGACAGATTTTATATGTCAGAAATACCTTAACGGGATTTTGATAGGTAGCATTTGTTTGGATACAGAACATAGGGGACAGTGGATTGGTGTTAATCACAAACAGAAAGACTGGAGACGCATAGGCAGCAATCTTCCTATATATAGTGATAATCTGTGCTGAGGATACATATATGGCAAGGATGCTTCCAAAGACAGGTGAAACTCAGTCTGAGGACTCTGAATTAAGCATGGCAAATATATAAAAGTGACAATTCCCAGTCCAGATGGAGCAAGAGAGACTAAAAAGGACAGCCTTCCAAAGAAAGCTGAAACAAGTTCCTGGGAATTCATGAACTTTAGACCTACAGCTGTAGAGCTTCCCTGGGACTGAACTAGGTTCTCTCATGTGGGAGTGTAGTGAAGCTTGGTCTACCCAAGGGCCCTCTGGCAGTAGGAGCAGCATATATCCCTGGTTCATTAGCTAGTGTGGGATTCCATGCTCAACCTTCATGCAGGGGCAAGGGGCTTAGTCCTGTCTTAACTTATAAATGTGCCAGGCTTTGTTGACTCCCCAAGGGAGGTCTTACTCATTCGAGGCCTTACCATTTGTGGGTGGGCTGGTGGGGGAGGTAAGGGGAGAAAAAAGAAGAGGTGGGATGGAGAACTGTGGTTGGAGTGTAAAATGAAAATTTAAAAATGATTAACAGAACTCAGGAAAAAAGAATGTGATTTTCATATTCTTATGTAACACAGTACAGTGTATGATTAATATTAACAATGAAAGCATATAAAAGAAACTTATTTATGCAGAATTACTAGACTTATAAAGAGTGTGGTATGTAAGGTAAATATTATTTACAGAATTTTGGCAGAAATGAAGGACAACACCATATTTATATAACAAATATATTACACACGATTAGCCTCATACAGTTTCATCTAACAATGTAATATGTAAATTATTGATGCTTTTAAATAAGAGATAGCATCTAAGTTGGCTAAGACTAATGTCCAGATATGCATATTTCATAAGGCTAATGGATTTTCAGTGCATATTCAAATTAGACTATCATAAGTGAGTACAATGTTAGCATTTCACTAACATACTCCCAAAACATGGAATTAGAGCCTTTCAATGATAGGTACTAATATTAGAAATAGCAACCAAGCCAACTTTATAGTTCAGTGATATTTACTTGCCTACCTAAGCTGGACAGAAGAAATAATGCTAGATTGTATGGTATAGAGAATCTCACTTCAGTCCTTTTTCCAACTAGCTTCGTTATTTGTGAGAGACACAGGTCCTGCTAACTTCGAAAGGTTACTGCAAAAATAAAATATGACTATTCATTTTTATAACCTAAATATGAAAAACATTTTGTACTTTCTAATGTATCATTATTTTTTAAGCTCAGCCAAAATAAATGTAACTTATTTTCATTATTGAACTTCCATAAGTATTAAGCAGACATGTTATCTCATTTTTGCATTTATCATAATGTTTATGTATTAGGGAAAATGAATAATCAGAATTTATAGGCAGATAAAGCACCAATTTTTAAATATGACAGATGTAATGACCTATTCCATATTCTGATTCTGTGCATTGAAACATTTATTATCTAATTCTTGAAATATTATTTAAAAAACTCATTGCTTACTAAACTGAATTCTGTACTTTATAGATTGTGGACACATAATAATTATTACAAATTATATTTGAGAAATGTGTGTGTTTGAAAGGAGAGCTACAACATGTTTTCTATACAACAATCACAATTGCATTTGTCTGTTTATACAGCTTACATCCTATTTTATACCTTGGACAAGAATATACCAATAGACGACTGGATTATGGAAACTATAAATGGTGATCGGCTGACCCATCAGATCATGGATCTAAACCTTGACACTATGTACTACTTTCGAATTCAAGCTCGGAATGCGAAAGGAGTGGGGCCCCTCTCTGATCCCATCCTCTTCAGGACTTTGAAAGGTGTCAACTATTTCTCATTATCTCTTTCATTTTCTTTGCGGACAGTCACAGAATAACAAAAACAAAACCCTACACCATTTGTTTGGCAAAGATACCTAAAGTGGGCATTCAAAATGAATTGAAGTGTGACTCTTAAATTCAAAGTCAATATGTCAAAGGAAGATATATGGTTTTATCACATTTTTCTGCCATCAATATCAGCAGGCATATTTAATTTGACTTTTATTTATAGACCTCCTTCATTTTGCATTGATTTTATGTATGCCGTTTTTAGTTGAAGTACAACGAATTCTTAGACATTTTAATATAAGGGAATTAAAATGTAGATGTATATATGTGTATGGCCTAAAACTGGCAACTTTATTTCCTTTCAATAATGGTCACCGTTATGTATTAGAGAAAACTTTAATAAGGTAAGTCAACAAATTTCAAAAAGAAAAATGTGGTTGGCATGTTGAGACCACAAAACTAAAAAAAAAGAGTTTTATATGTTGGCTAAATAAAACCCTACATTCTTGTGTGTGTGTGTGTGTGTGTGTGTGTGTGTGTGTGTGTGTGTGTACACTCAACTGAAAGATAGTTGATTTCATTATAGAAAACACTGAATTCAAATACTGGTCACATAAAACAACCTTACTCTTTTAGACTCAAATCATATTTTCCACAATATAAAATGATTTTGTGAGTCTCACAGTTTTATACACGGTCAGACAACTTGGGTCTTAAATGAGTGACTGCATATATGTCTCCCAGAAGTGGAGACATGATCTCAAACAAGTGAGATATTAAGCAGACCATTATGATTGACAATTCTCACTTCTTTGCTGTGCTTCTTAGAGTAACTGCATAGTTGGCTTCCCAATGCTTTAGGAAGATATGCTAATAAATAGTGGACTTTTGAATTCTCATGAGTAAGCTATTCAAAATCTGGATTTTGTTAGCAGCTTACCTGAAATTTTGCCAAAATTACACAAGCAAGCATTCATCCTGAGCCTACGTGACAGTTCTTCATGTCACAGTATGAGTGAGGAGGGAGATGAGGAACAAATGAGCTAGTTTTTGTCCAGGTTTTGAGGAACTCATGTCTAAATCAGGTTTTACTTCATGAGCAAATGAAAGGCAGCCAGTTGTTCATTTCATAGAAGCATAGGCTGTAACTAGATAATGTTTTGCAAATGCCTAAATTTTATCTATAGGCGGGTGCCAAATTAATTTCATGCTCCCTATGCATGCCAGTCAAGAGATATCAGGAGGGTTTATGGTGATTTAGGAATCTGAATGTTTTATACGGTAGATTGATGAGCTGCCTTAGGATATACTGGCAAACATTGATAGCCATTCTGTAGGTTATTTAATGAAGTCAACATTTCACTTGTTACTGTTTATCTTGAATCTCCTAGTATCATCTGGTTTTCTAAGCTGGAGAGCAGCTCCAAATTTTCTTTTATAATGGTCTATAAGAATTACGTCTAATGCACTGATTCGATGTTATAAGTAATAGTCATTGTGTGAATAAAGATTGCTCAAAAGGTAAAATAATCTTTTCATGTCTTGAGGAAATTGTAAATCTCTCTCTCTCTCTCTCTCTCTCTCTCTCTCTCTCTCTCTCTCTCTCTCACACACACACACACACACACACACACATACACACACCCTAATGCCACCTATCTTTAATAAAACCTGAGTTCTGCAAAAATGTACTTCCTATGTCACATTAAATGACAAATGTTTTAAGGTCAATAAATCACCCATCATGAAAGATCTGATGTCTCAGTGAACCACAGCTACACCAAAGACAAAATCATGGAATTGCTCTGAATGAAGATTTTCTCTTTCCAAAGCTGCTTAAAAGCAAAAGCCTCTGTTCATCAGTGTGTGACCTTTTTTTTTTTGACAGGGAGAGAGGTTCAGATTTTTTTTGAAGCCCAGGGAAGTTTCTGTAGTCTACAGGCTAATGGGTAAATGTTTCCTTGCAAATCTTGCCCCATGCAGGTATCCCCAAGCCTCATTCTTTCGTACTCAGGCTTTGTCAAAGTAGCAGCATTTTGTACTTGAGATATGAGTTTGTCTTTTGCTATCAGCAACCAGCTAGAGGGATTTAGGAGACTTGGTAAGTAGTCACTGATGAATTAAAAAAAAAACAACATTTATAATTAGAAAACATATATACATAAGTGTGTGGTACGTGTAACTATTTATTTGAAATTTTAATTAATGTTTCACGTGATTTTTTGACTACATAGGAATATGCAAATTCCCACCTGCCTACCACATATACCCTACTAACTCAATAATGGCTGTCTCCCAATGGAAAGTCCAAGAAGTTGTGGGCCAAATTTAAACTGGATCTTCCCAAATTAAAAGATTCAAATTTAGAGTGGGTCTTCCCACAGAAAATGATTCAATCAGCAAAAGTCACTCACCGGTGTGTCCAGCCACTAGGGCTTTAGTTCCAGATCTAATGAAGTTGATAGCCAAAAGTAACAATTATCTTTTTGAAACACTAGAGAAGAAGTGTACTCCTAAAGTAATAGATGACAGAAAATTTCTATAGTGGGAGAGCATCACTTCTTACACTCAAAGGAGCAGAGTGTTCAGTGATGAATTCTCAGTAGAGCATGATCTCTTCTCCTGGAAACCTTAATTGATATTTAAAATATGACTCTCCTAAGCCCAGAAATAAAATTCACTGACAACTCTGTGTGAGGGTGTGGGAGAGTGACTTAGAATTCAAATTGTATTGTGACAAAACACATGGCAGTTTTTTGGTCACATGACATGAACAATTACAAATTCAAATCACAAATGATAAAAAGTAACTACTAGAGTCCATTTGGTTTCTGTTGGAAAATAATTCTCATTAATTTTTTTAGACAAAGTCTCACTATACAGACATTGGGGGTCTGAAAGTTGATATGTAGACTAGGTTAGCACTGTAGCACATAGTGCTGGGAAGAAAGGTGTATGCCAGCTCACCCAGCTAGTGACATTTTATATAACTTGAAAGAATTTTCACATTACTTCTAATGTAACTTTACTAACAGAAAACAAAATCTGGAAGCAGTGTATTTATTGTCACTAAAAATATCTTGGAATTCAGACAATGAAAGCAATAACAGTTTGAAGGAACAATGAAACGGTAGAGAGAAAATAAACTTGGCATTCTTCTCTCTTTTTTCTTTTTGTTCCTTTTTGACATTATTCCACATACTCTTCTGAAACATCAGACATAAATGTGTGTTGTGTTGGTTCCAAAATTTGTATACTTCCCAATTGTGTAGCTACTTATGTCCCTGAAGTATTCTGCACCCTTACTGCTAGAAAGAGGGTATAATGTTCCAACAACCCAGCATAATTTTTCACAGGATACAGATGGTTGTTAGAAATCCTGCTGAGTCTCACCTGGGTGAAATGGTGCAAGCCCTTAATTTCAGCAATCAGGAGGCAGGGACAAAAAGGTATCAGTGAATTGGAGGCCAACCAGGCCTCTGTAGTGAGGTACAACAGCTAGGTCTATGCAGAGAGACCTGATTCAAAAAACCAAAACCAAAACAAAACACAAATATTATTATTCACTATGCAGATTATAGTTAACTCAATGACCTGTCCAAAAACCTCAGCTGTCTGTCAACACTCCATATTTTCTTTAAGTTACTAAACAATAGTAATTGACTCACAACAAGAGTGGTTCACAGAATGATTGGATGACTGCATTGTAGATTAATGCATAATATCTCTGTAAGTTTCAGTGAAATATATACAAGAAGCAAGTCAGCTTTTGAATACAAGTTAGTTGAATGTGCCCAAAAGACACAAAACTCACATTCAGGTATGCATAATAATTGATGGAGATTTTCAAAAGTGAACAGTGGCCAAAAATTCCTTGAAGATTGCATTTAGAACTGTGATAGTATTGATTTACTATGTAATTTCTTCTGCTTAAGGGAAAGAAACCAGGTTTTAAGAAGTTTAGAGATATACTTACATTTCAAAAGGAATTTGTCAGCATTGATTAATAACAACTCTTTTGCAGTTGTGAACAAATCAAGTGTCAGCTTCTTCAGTTGTGAAATGAGTCATCCTGGTAATCACGCTAATGGTGGTCACCCCACTTAAGGTTATCCCACTGAGTATGTCCCAGTTGTTTGCCCAGCTCATGAACAATTGTCTTAACAGTTAGACTCTACATTCTTGTGTGTGTGTGTGTGTGTGTGTGTGTGTGTGTGTGTGTGTGTGTGTGTTATAGCTTGTATCAAATAAATACGATTTGGTAGCTCTTTCCAATTATTTTACTATCAATTCCATTTTAATTAAAATTAAAAAATGAGCTTATGTTTAAGAAAACATGACAACTAGACTTTAGAAGATGATTATTCAGCAAAAACCTTATTTTCAGGGTTTTGCTGCCTCTGGCTGATTACCAATAGAAATGATGACAGCACTATGGACTTGATAAGCCAACTTTCTCATAAGAAACTCTACACTGTAATAACATAATTTATTTTTCTCTCCACAGTGGAACTCCCTGACAAAATGGCTAATGACCAAGGTACGGTGTTACAGTCTTTTCTTGTTTGTGTCTTTATAGCAGTGGAATCTACTGAAAGCATCAATAGCTACTTTGCATTCCTGCTTTCACCTGGCTCCTCCACCTGATGGAGCAGACACTGGCATGGTTAATCTTGTTAATGAAGTTCTGCTTGGCTGAGGCTGTGGGTCTGATAGGGAAGATGTAAATTTTCTTGAGAGGAAATTGTTTTGTCTCTATTCAGAAGGACCAATTAAAATGTCAAGCTTCTTTGTATGAAATAAATTTTTAGTCTCTGTCTGCACTTCTGAATAATTCACATTAAGTATAATTAAGCTCAGTATAATTTTCTAGCTGCTCTTGCACCCTTTCCTGAGCTGTGGATTAAAGTTCTGCTGTACTATATAAATCATGGGTGCTTCTCCTCTGCAAGGAAATTCCTTTGATAAATAAAAACAAAGTTGAGTTAACTTTTTAGGGAGTTATTGCTGTTCATTTTGAAGCTCAGGGTCTTCTCTTTCTCCCTCATTACTAACAGCTGATTTAAAAGCAGGAATGGTTTCACACAATGAGAAAACACGGAGATAAATACAAATTATCCTTCAACTCAAAAGTAGAGCAATTCCTATTAACATAATTTGTAGACTGATTGATAAATTAGTATTCCATTATCTTTACACCGAAGACATTTAATAGAATTCTAAGTAGAGGAGAGTGGATGAGTTTCATGGTGGCAGGGGGTGGATACATTCTTTTCAGGGATAGTTTTAGAGTCCTTGAAACTATTTGTATCCCTGGTGCATGTATTTGTGCTTTCTGGCCCAACAGTAGTTTGTCTCTTTCTTTGCACATATGAACGGACAATCAGTGTAACGAACTCACCTTGAGACTCCTAAGTAACAAGTTCTTTCTGATTGGAAGCACTTTTTTTAACAGATATCAATCATCTTTGTGCTATTCCTACTAATGGTGGAGGACACCCAACATGAACAGTGTTTTTGCCTAAGGGAGATACACTTGGTTTTTGTTGTGCTTTTCTGTGTCACTGTGAAACATTTATATTTAATACATTGTGCCTGGCATTATAGAATTGACACTCTAGAAATGTCTGTATTCCATGAATGTATATATCTGCTCCTAATTGCTTCCACTGGGGAAAAACTTTTATGAGCCATATCTATAAGAGATGAACATCTTTAATAATGTTAATGATGAATAATATCACTTTGAATGTATTTCCCTAAGTAAATGAAGCACTGGAGCTGCCAAAATACAAACCCAGAACAGTTAGTTAGAAGCTATCTAATTATTTCAGTTAAAAGATAATTAAAATGGTCTTACATAATGGTCTTCTCTGAAGAAAATTTGGAGCACCCATAGACTAAGAGCTCTTAAATTTTAATTATATTTGAATCATAAGTGTGTGTGTGTGTGTGTGTGTAATAACAAAAGTAGCTGAAATTTGTTTAGTTATTCAACAAGCAACTTGCATGATAAAGCATTCCAATTCCCAAATCATAGACTCTTACTTATATTGTTTTGCAATTAGTTTTCAGTCAGTTTTTTGGCTCAATATTATATTATTCTTTGTTTGTGGTGCAGGAGATTAATCATAGTACCTCATAGCTACAAAGGACATGCCTAGTCACAGAGGTACAAACCTCATCCTTTGCTTCATATTATGTTAAACTAGACGATACATATTTTGTTATTTAAATAAAGGATTCCCCTGTATTTCTGACCATATTACTTCTCTTTACCTGTAAGTCTGACTCATATTTTCACTAATTCAGTGAAATAAGGCCAATTTCTAGAAGAAAAGGCATCCCAAGCTTTATTGTCCCAGTTGAGTACATAGATATACTTAATCAAGTGTTTATTCCTCCTTACATACTACTTAGAATGATTCTTTCATGTAGGCTACTTAATGTCTTTTCAAACACAGCAGGCAGATGGTTGGTCAAGTTGAAAACCTCAACATTTTATATCACATTTATTCAAATCACTCATTAAAGGAAAATTGTGGTAATAGTTATGTTAGTGGTAGTAATATCGTCAGACGTTTACATAAAATATATTGGCCACCAAAAGCTTTTTATGTGAAATATCATTTACCGGTATTGATAAACAAGTATGTGAGATACATCCTAGATTAGAGACCTTTAAAAATGATGGAAATACTGACAGAAGCCTGTTCTAACTGCTCCATTTACAGCAAAATGAAGTGAGCTGAATATATTTTTATCATACTCACTGATAGACTTTTGTTCTTCTGTAAAAATTTGTAATAGGAACTGATTTTGTGAGCTCTAAGCCAGACAACATTCTAGCATGGAGTTTGGAGGGGTTCACCACACCCCTAACTGAGGAACTACTGATGGCTTCTAGAGACAGGCGTGTCATTATTCTTTAAGAGTGTGGCCTCTTGTAGGTAAACTACATTCCAGTGGATGACACTACTCCCATTAGTATATGGGCAGCACAAATTCTAATTGGTGGACTATTTAAAAGTGAAAAGATGAGAAGTTGGTGGCATGGAGCAGTGGACATTGGTCTGGAGGAATTTGGGGGAGAAGTAGGAGGTAAATAACATCAAATACAAATGGAATTATAAAAGGATTAATAAAAAGAAACTCACTTTTAGTGGAAATTTGGCACCTTAAGTCAGACTTAACCCTGAAAATATGAATCTTAAGTAGAGAAGCAGAAAACTGAATTGTAAGTGAAAACATAAGAAAAACCTTGATCGTTGTTAAAAGTACCTTGGAAGTTTCTTGTCACAATTACTTGTTCTTGGAACATAATACCTGCTATTATGAAAAACATTTTTAAAAACCCTCAAAATAGAATTGGGTGGGGGGTCGTGAAATTGCTTTCTTCTAAGTAGTGGTAAGAGTAGCATGAAAATTATAAACAACACAGAATTGATGAACAACCCTTGCATGTCAGTTGTACCTGGTGTTTTCTTCACTCTAACCTTTAAATGCTTCGTACTTTTTCTGTACTCTTCTCTCACTTCATTTTCCAGTTATTTCCAGGAATTTTCATTTACAAGAGGCCAATATGTTTGAAAGTAACTCTGAGGCTTTAGTGAGTTAAGTTTCATGGAAGGTAGTCACACAAAGCCTATGAAGTGTGTGTACAGTATAGACAAGATTTGTAGAGCATTTTTGTATGAGTGCATGTAATGGTTAATTGAACGCAATGAGGATCTTTCCACCACTCACAATTTTAAGAATGGATGATTGACTAACTTAACTCATAACATGACTGAGGCTGATACTATTATTATCTCCATTTGAGCAATAAATAATCAGAAGCTTAGAGAATCTAAATATTTTGCCTGTAGAAATAAACCCACAAAAACCATGTCCCCGAAGCCCTATTTACACTAACATTTTATGTAAAATTTTTCATTTTACATACCACCCCCAGTTCCCCTTCTCTTCCCTTCTCCTGCCCCCTTCCACCTCCCCTCCTTCTCACCTCCCATCCAATCCTCAGAGTGGGTAAGGCCTTCCCTGGGGAGTCACCAAGGTTTGGCATATCAAGTTGAATCAGGACTCCCTCTCCCCCAGTATCAAGGCTGAGCAAGGTATCCCTCCATAGGAAATGGGTTCCAAAAAGCCAGTACATGCCTCTGGGTAGGTCCTGGTACTACTGCCAGCCATGTCCCCTCTCCTGATATCAAGAACCTACATACAGTAACTTATGAAAGTAGATACAGTGACCCACTATCAAGCACTCGGCTGAGCTCCTGAAGATCAGGTGAAGAAAGGGAGGAGGGACTCATATGAACAAGAGAGATCAAGAGCATGATGGGGGAAACCACAGAGACAGCTGGCTAGAGCTAGTGGGAGCTCAGGAATATGGACTGACAGTTGGGTAACCTGCATGGGCCTGAACTACACCCTCTGAATGTGGGTGACAGAGTTCTATTTTTAAACCCAAATCCATTCAGTATGTACTTTCTTCATGTTTACATGTAGACCGATGGATGTACAAAACTTCTGTCTCTAAAGTTTTATTTTTCTGATATTTTTCTAATATGGACTGTCTTTTTTTCATATCAGTGAGTATTCTTAGAACAAAGCAAATGATATAATCTTGTTAATGGGTATCGACAACTTTGAGTCTATGAGGCTGGAAACATAGGAACTATGCTACTTAAATTATCTTAGGCTGCCAGTACCAAATGACAGGTAAATTAAACAACAAAAATGTATGTACTTTAAAGTTGAGATAGAAGTCCCAGATGAAGGTGCAGATCAGCTGAGTCCTGGCAAGAGCTGTCTTTCCTGCTTGTTAATGGTCTTAGTGGGTGTGTCTTCACTTGGCAGAAGAGAGCCCCCCCCCCAGGTCTTTTCTTTTTCTTTGTAATTTCTTTTGTTCTTCTTTTTTTGTATTTTGTTTTTTATTTAAATTAGAAACAATCTTATTTTACATATCAATCCCAGTTCCCTCTCCCTCCTATCCTTCAATAGCTCCCCCATCCCCCATCCCATCTCCCTTCTGCTCCCAATGGAGGTTAAGGCCTTCCATGGAGGATCATCAAAGTCTGTGGTGTCATCTGGGACAGAGCCAAGGCCCTCTCCTGTGTGGCTAGGCTGAGAGAATATCCCTTTATATGGAATGGGCTCCCAAAGTCTCCTTGTACACCAGTGATAAATACTGCTCCACTACCAGAGGCCCCATATATTGCCCAGGCCTCGTAAGTGACACCCACGTTCAGGGGGCCTGATTCAGGCCTATGCTGGTTTCCCAGCTGTCAGTCTGGGTCCATGAGCTCCCCATTGTTGAGGTCAGCTGTTTCTGTGGGTTTCTCCAGCCTTGTCTTGATCCCTTTGCTCAACACTCCTCCCTCTCTACAACTGGATTCCAGGAGTTTGCCTCAGTGTTTAGCTTTGGGTCTCTGCTTCTGTTTCCATCATCTACTGGATGAAGGCTCTTGGATGGCATATAAGACAGTCACCAATCTCATTATAGGGGAAGGGCATTTAAGGTAGCCTCTCCAAGATTGC